TTTGCAAACCTAACACACAACCACTAGAATGGTTGTTCCAATCTCAGAGTTTACAACTAAAACATTTTACATTTGACCACTTTCTAAACGCACTATCATGGTGGTAAATAAACTATTACTGTAACAATATTCAAACAAAGTATTGTGGGTTTGTATAATGAAAGTCATTTCAATGTTAATGGTACCCAAACACCATGGACGCAGCTACCGTTAATAGGTCCATGAACATTTTTATGGCCTTCAAAGTTTGTATGACAAAAGACTGAAGCGAGACTAAGCACTAAAAATGTGTTGAGTATTGTCATAATTGTTACGACTTCTGAAAGGTTTATGTCGTAAAGTGTTCACTGTAAGTATGTTACGTCCTTGAAGAGGGCATAATGGCCGAACAAACCTCGCTCACCTGTGGGAGAGATTTGTGTTTCAACATAATATATTTCAAATACATTATGATTTTTGCAATTGATATGTTGTTGTTATTGCAACTGTTTGCTTCGTTACTTGTGTTTATATTGTTACTGTTTGCATTTTGTTACTTTAGTGTTTACCCTGTTGTCCTCCATAATACTAGTGTATATCTCGTCCTTGCTGTAGAAAGTGCAAGAGTTACTCTATTGTCCTTCATAATACTCGTGCAAGTGTTACCCTTATTGTCCTTCATAATACTCGTGTATATCTCGTCCTTGCTGTAGAAAGTGCAAGTGTTACCCTGTTGTCCTTCATAATACTAGTGTATATCTCGTCCTTGTTGTAGAAAGTGCAAGTGTTACCCTGTTGTCCTTCATAATACTCGTGTATATCTCGTCCTTGCTGTAGAAAGTGCAAGTGTTACCCTGTTGTCCTTCATAATACTAGTGTATATCTCGTCCTTGTTGTAGAAAGTGCAAGTGTTACCCTGTTGTCCTTCATAATACTCGTGTATATCTCGTCCTTGCTGTAGAAAGTGAAGTGTTACCCTGTTGTCCTTCATAATACTCATGTGTATATCTCGTCCTTGCTGTAGAAAGTGCAAGTGTTACCCTGTTGTCCTTCATAATACTAGTGTATATCTCGTCCTTGTTGTAGAAAGTGCAAGTGTTACCCTGTTGTCCTTCATAATACTCGTGTATATCTCGTCCTTGCTGTAGAAGTGCAGAGTGTTACCCTGTTGTCCTTCATAATACTCAGTATATCCTCGTCCTTGCTGTAGAAAGTGCAAGTGTTACCCTGTTGTCCTTCATAATACTAGTGTATATCTCGTCCTTGCTGTAGAAAGTGCAAGTGTTACCCTGTTGTCCTTCATAGTACTCGTGTATATCTCGTCCTTGTTGTAGAAAGTGCAAGTGTTACCCTGTTGTCCTTCATAATACTCTCGTGTATATCTCGTCCTTGTTGTAGAAAGTGCAAGTGTTACCCTGTTGTCCTTCATAATACTCGTGTATATGTCGTCCTTGCTGTAGAAAGTGCAAGTGTTACCCTGTTGTCCTTCATAATACTAGTGTATATCTCGTCCTTGTTGTAGAAAGTGCAAGTGTTACCCTGTTGTCCTTCATAATACTCGTGTATATCTCGTCCTTGTTGTAGAAAGTGCAAGTGTTACCCTGTTGTCCTTCATAATACTAGTGTATATCTCGTCCTTGTTGTAGAAAGTGCAAGTGTTACCCTGTTGTCCTTCATAATACTCGTGTATATCTCGTCCTTGTTGTAGAAAGTGCAAGTGTTACCCTGTTGTCCTTCATAATACTCGTGTATATCTCGTCCTTGTTGTAGAAAGTGCAAGTGTTACCCTGTTGTCCTTCATAATACTCGTGTATATCTCGTCCTTGCTGTAGAAAGTGCAAGTGTTACCCTGTTGTTGGTGTTATTGTTACAGTTTGCAAATTGTTGCTATTGATAACGCTGCTGTTTTCACGTTGTTAGTGTTTCTATCGCTCTCGGTTGCACGTTGGCACTGTTGGTATTGCTGTTGGTTGCACGTTGGCACTGTTGATATTGCTGTTGGTTAAACGTTGTTACTGTTTATATTGCTGTCGGTTGAACGTTGTTACTGTTTATATTGCTGTTGGTTGAACGTTGTTACTGTTTATATTGCTGTCGGTTGAACGTTGTTACTGTTTATATTGCTGTCGGTTGAACGTTGTTACTGTTTATATTGCTGTCGGTTGAACGTTGTTACTGTTTATATTGCTGTTGGTTAAACGTTGTTACTGTTTATATTGCTGTTGGTTGAACGTTGTTACTGTTTATATTGCTGTCGGTTGAACGTTGTTACTGTTTATATTGCTGTTGGTTAAACGTTGTTACTGTTTATATTGCTGTCGGTTGAACGTTGTTACTGTTTATATTGCTGTCGGTTGAACGTTGTTACTGTTTATATTGCTGTTGGTTGCATGTTCTTACTGTTTATATTGCTGTTGTTTGCGCGTAATTATTGTTTATATTGGTGTTAGTTGCATCTTGTTATTATTCATATTGCTGTTGGTTCCACGTTGTTACTGTTTATATTGCTGTTGGTTGCATCTTGTTACTGCTTATATTGCTGTTGCTTGCTTCTTGTTGCTGTTTATATTGCTGTTGGTTGCACGTTGTTACTGTTGATATTGCTGTTGGTTGCACGTTGTCGCTGTTTATATTGCTGTTGGTTGCACGTTGTTACTGTTGATATTGCTGTTGGTTGCACGTTGTTGCTGTTTATATTGTTGTTGGTTGCATCTTGTTACTGTTTGTATTGCTGTTGGTTGCACGTTGTTACTGTTATGTTAGTGTTTATCCTGTTGGTCATAATGCTAACCTGTATCCCGTCTTTGCTGTTGATGTTACCAGTTTTTACCCTGTTGTTGGTGTTATATTGTTACTGCTTGCAAGTTGTTGCTGTTATCTGATAACTCCTTACAACTTCTAAAGGTTTTTCCTTTTCTTTAATTGTATAGACCTTATTATATATTATTACGTGTAGTAGTATCTCATGAAAAAAAATTCAAATCCTTTCAATAAAAGCGACCAATGTGGTTTTGTTTATTTCAAAATATTGCAATTTTAACAATCATTGACATAAAATGTATCACATTTGCTTCTTGTAGAGACATTCCAAACAAAAACGCATTCGTCCGTTCACACACTTATCACAGATGTCTGTAAATATATATTACATATTCAATAAAAATGTATCGCATCATATCCCTCACCGGAATATACATCCACTTATACACTAGCATACATCATATTCAAAACGTAATATACTACTCAAAAGAAGTTAAGGATCACGCCAAGGTGAATAAACTATAGTAATATGGAAAACTAGGGTCCTTAACTTTTTCGGGTAGTATATTTTCCAAAAAATCACCAGTCGTACGATCACATTTAAAAACTGGCAGTTTTGAAGAAGACATGTCACGTGTGACAGATATTTGATCTGTTGCTGCATAGTAAAGACGCAGGGTGTCATGGCAACCATGCAAAACACAAACGATGATATAAGTGAATTACTGGTAATACCGCAGCAGCCAGAAATACACGATTATAATAATCTACTTAAAGCTTACATTATTGTGCTTATTTTATTACTGCAACAATAAGGCTCTATTAACCATGCTAAATAGGAGTTAATCAATACTTATATACCCTGAAGTACCATATCTTATGACGTCAAAGTATTCGGTGTAAGAATTAAACCTTATAAGTGTAAGAGTCAGCCATAAGAGGATCAGGTGGACGCAATTCAGGGTGACCACATTCCGTAACATACAGACTAACGAAATACAATATCTCTCACGTGAGATACGATTTCTGGCTGTGAATTCTGATCCCAAGGGAGTCTGGGTTAGGGGCTGCTTATAGAAAAAGGTCTAGATTTTCGAAGCTCTCTTAGCGCTAAGAGAGTCGTAAGTGCCATACATTAACATTAACTTACGACTACCTTAGCGCTAAGAGAGCTTCGAAAATCTAGGCCCAGGGGAGTGGACGAGATTGGTTCCAGGGCCTCGTAGCGCTACGACAGTCGTAAGTCTATGTTAAAGTATGGGAGTTACGATCATCTTAGCGCTACGACAGTCGTAAGTCTATGTTAAAGTATGGGAGTTACGATCATCTTAGCGCTACGACAGTCGTAAGTCTATGTTAAAGTATGGGAGTTACGATCATCTTAGTGCTAAGATCGCTTTGAGGAACGGGGCCCAGGTATGTGCCATATTTTACTGACCGGCACACCACACGTTATAGTTGACCAGTGTGTTAGAGTGGATACCGTTAGTCGGAGATACGTTACTGTAAATATGTATTATATATCTTATATTCGTACCTTTTACCAGGTCCACAATGTGGTGTGTTGTTCATGATATCAATCACTTGTTGGTCTGTTCAAAACTTCTTATTTAAAGGCTGTGGGTGTATGTACCGGTAAACAACGAACAGACAAATATGAATTTTTAAAAGCAGAGAAATTACAATATTTAAACTTTGCTTTCCTTAAACCTTGGGGACTAAAACAAATACGTCCGGTAAACCGTACATCGATATAATCTGGGTTGTAGATTATTACATACGTTGATGAGTGAAGTACTAGCAGTTGACAGCTACAATGATTACTCCCTGGAGAGTACCGACCACTTCCGTTTCCTATATGTAATGCAATGCATGTCGGGAATAAAACTGAGTGACTGCCGAGCATGGTTATGTGTTCAGTCACGGAAACAGTTAAATCTGACTGTTCAATCTGAAGATATATGCTACAATGAGTTCTAGAGTATTACATACGTCATTATCAGGGTAACCATTGTTATTAAAGGGCGCGGGATTTGTATCTCTTTTCGTTGAAACCCCTCTGGGAAATTTCTTTGAGTGGCATTATAGAAGACTGACTGACGCAGTTTGGTTTTACGCCGCTTTTAGCAATATTCCAGAAATATCACGGCGGGGGACACCAGAAATGGGCTTCACACATTGTGCCCATGTGGGGATTCGAACCCGGGTCTTCGGCGTGACGAGCCAACGCTTTAACCACTAGACTACCCCACCGCCCCCATTATAGAAGATGGGAAGCACAATATAGACAAACTTTATGGATATCAACTTCTTTATTTCGTGAGTGTTGTGTTTCGATACAGATTCTTGGACAATTGCCAAGCAGGAATGAAAGAATATGTATCGAAACATCGCACTCACAAAATAAAGGAGTTGTACTTAATAAAGTTTGTCTATATTGCCCTATGAGAAAAGCTTCCACATTTTTAAAAACAATACATTCCGTAGTGGGTCTCTAATGTTAACAATAACGTGACCACGATTACTATGTGTTCTTGGTAACAATCATAGCATTACATGATACATAATTCATTGAAAACCCCACTGATTGCCTGCTTGAAAAAGGTGCATCAAACTTAATTCTATTCGTAACACACAACAATGAATACTCATGTACACACGGATGTCTCGAAGTGGATCCCATACGTAAGAAATACTCAATTAAAACAAATAAATGACATATAACGAGTGATATATAATACTGTTCATTGGGATGTGCTGTTACCCTTCGACTTAGCCAATGTTTGTGCGTTATAAGGTACCCCACCAACACGAACATTCCCAAACACCAGAAACTGGCTAAAAAGCAGTGAAACCTCTTTAACTCGAAGTATTGGGTCCCACCAGAATTAACGAGTTTCATATGAAGACAAAGTAGCAAAAGTCTTGAAATGAACTTTTCATTACCTTCGTGTGTCGAAAAGCCATTTCAGCGATAATTCTCAATAATGTGCAGGTATCTTCGATTTGTTTGTGCATATACATACACGTACAGATAATGAATATTCTGAAAGAATACGTAATGACCAAACACATTCATGTGGTTTTGATTACCCGAACAGCGACGAATCTCACCTCCGTGTCACTGTTTCACTGATCGAGACAAAAAGAGTACACATGAAATATACCAAACGCTGAAAACCTTTAGAGTAATTCTCCAACATAGGTGCATTTGTTAAAATCGACCCACCTACCTTTTGAAATATAGAGCAATCGGAAATCACAATTCTGTTAGGATTTCCTGAAAATGTGAAGAAATATATAAATGAGCTAAATCGTCCATGTATCACCTAGGCGTGTATTTCTCTAACCACTGTGTACATTTGGCTATAGCTTTCTCTCGGATCTCTGCTGGAGGCGTCTCTGATCCCCTCCGATCGCACGAGATTATGTCCCTGTATCGTATATCAAAGTCACCGAATGTTATTTGAAAAGTTCGCTCTCGTTTCATTAAATTATACTTCCCTACACCTGGGATTCGCATTGCTTCTGCATTGTCCAATGATTCAACTGAAGAGGATTTAGGTAACATATTCGATTTTAGACCTATCCGAGGAAAGAGGCATTTATCTCCCCTTAGTCCTCTCCTGTTTCTAGAGTTCATTAACTCAGTGACGGTACTACTTGATGCACAACTCCTTGCACTGTCTAAAGATCCATCCTCAACTTCACACGTAGATAGCACACCAATGGCGAGATCACTTTGGTCCGTATCATTTAATATTTGGCCATTATTTCCCGTTTCACATGACGCTACTGGCTTGGGACTAGAATTATCTGCACCCATTTCGTTCAAAGTCTCATTGATAGCGTGTTGAGCCTCCAACGACATACGTGAAAATAGTTTTAGATTTTTTCGTTTAGTTGGTCTGGGTAGTCGAGATGGTCTGAGACCAGACGGTCTGGGGAAGTCATTTGCGGTTTGAATAACAGCGGGGCAGGATCTGGAAGTCTTATTACTCACTCTGCTCACAGATGTGTTAACATTTCGTGGCGTTGGTAGAAGGGTATCCATCGACTGAGCCACGTTGGTCGCATGACCCACATTCTTGATCTGAGAGTTCATGGCGTTCGTGTTGTCCAAGACCCTGCACGTCGTCGCGCCACAGGCTTTTAAAATGTCGTCTGCTGTCTTCGCAACCTCGGACCTGTCCCGCCACAATTTGACATCCGGGACAGTCTCCCGTCTAGGAACACAAGGATCTGGTTTCATTGTCTCCTTCAGAATGTCATCATCACTATCGTCGTCCTCGAAGTCGTCCACTTCGGTCACCCCTGCTCCAGTGCCCCCAAACCCAATATCAACACTGCTTTTACACACTGATCGTCTGATCGGTATAGAGTTACGGGTTCTGTTACTCAGCCGAGAAACGCTGGCCTCTGACCTCTTGGACCGAGGTCCTGACAACTGCCGGACAGAGCTTACACTCGTACTTTGCATAATCTTCGTATGTAACTTCTGGTATTTCACCTCTAAGGATTTCATCCACTGGGGGTACGGCGAATTGGCATGACTCCCAGACACATCTCGAGTGCTCGCCAGGCGAGGCGCTATACCCGTTTTGGATCGCATTGTGGCACTTATATGAACTAATTTCTATAAACTTATTGACTAGCAAAGACAGCGAGTAGCAACGGCTTTGTCCACCGGCTACGCCACCATTGTTGGCCTTTCCACAAACGATACACTTTTGCCATTCACGGTACGACCCGTTGTTAGATATGTACACAATCGTGTTTTCGTCAATACAAACGACCCTGAAGAGGTAACAGGTCGTTGAATACCCATGCGTCTCGCCTACAATTGGCTCAGTAACAGATTGTATCCACGGCGGGTAGGTTCTGTATTATGTTGACTGCCAGTCATTCCGTAATGAATGTGATCCCAAACCACCCATAACATTTGTCTTATCAATAACGCGTCGACGACTGCAAAGCGTTGTGCGAATTCCGAGCTCTTGGCCAGCAATCCTGCACTAAATGATCTGACTGAGCGAACTTTCTCAAGATTATCAAATATCAATGGGCGTGCTATGCCTCAACAGTCGTTTGTCATTTGTAATCAAAAGCCGAAATCTTCGAACCAATTAATCAATTACATACTCCGAGATTACGTTTAGTGAAGGTATTTGTCCCCATGGAATAGTCGGTCGCTTCCGGACAATGACGTAATGAGTTATTTCCGTTTCAGTCGTCTTGCTTCCATTACGAAGTGTCATATCGTGTTGAAATCTGCAACACAGAAATTTAATACATCACAAGTGTGAAAACGAGGTTTGGTGAGTTTTCTTTAGGTTGCATTTGTCAAATGTTTAGATGAAATCTTTACAAACATCCATCAGACATAGAATAAAACAGCCAATTCTAAAGACTGCATATTTTAAAGGCAAAGACGTACTAAAAAGGTTAACATCTGTTTAACTTGAAATCTGAACCCATGTGAGCGATGTTATTTATTTTTTCGGGTATTTGCAGATCATTGTCTGTAATAAACCAGGAACCCGTGAAGATCCGGGTTAGAATTGGTCTTCTGTAACCCATGCTTGTTGTAAGATGCGACTAACGGGATCGGGTGGTCAGGCTCGCTGACTTGGTTGACACATGTCATCGTATCCCAATTGCGTGGATCGATGATCATGCTGTTGATCACTGGATTGTCTGGTCCAGACTCGATTATTTACAGACCGCCGCCATACAGCTGGAATATTGCTGAGTACGGCGTTAACGACAAACCAACCAACCAATGGCCCGAAACGATCTTGCATTTAGATTTTACGTGTGGGGTTTTCAATATCCTGAAAATATGTAATTTCTACAGTATGTTTATGCAATCGCATGCGATTTCTACTATCGGAATACTTTCTATTGGATCGCAGTGTGGTTATAGCAATAAAGGGCCGTGGGGTAGCCTGATGGTTAAAGCATTCGTCCATCACGCTGACAACAGGGGTTCGATTCCCCACATGGGTACAATGTGAATGAAGCCCATTTCTGGTGTCCCTCGTCGTGATATTGTCGGAATGTTCCTAAAAGCGGCGCAAAACCATACTCATGCACTCAGTCATAGCAATATAATAAATATAACAAAACCCTCTCCATATTTCAATGGAATCCATAGTACGATTTCGACTTCGGTTGTATCATCGTAATATGGTTAACACGACACACAGCACTTTTAAAGGCGGAAATTGTGAAACATGTGAACAACAAAAGATCAACGAACGAGTACGTACCGGTGACTAAGAGCAATTCCATAATTATAAGACATTTCCACTAAAACGAAGTCCACTGAATGATTCCAATTCCACCAACGCCAAAGGGATATGATTTGCATTAACAAAGTCAGGAGTCTTACCATCCGATCACGAACCCATCAACATGGGTTAGAATTGGTCTTCAGCGACCCATGCTTGTCATAAGAGGAGGCCAACGGGATCGGATGGTCAGGCTCGCTGACTTGGTGGACACATGTCATCGTATCTCATTTGTGTAGGGGTGGTGGGGTAGCCTAGTGGTTAAAGCGTTCGCTCTTCACGCCGAAGACCCGGGTTCGATTCCCCACATGGGCACAATGTGTGAAGCCCATTTGTGGTGTCCCCCGCCGTGATATTGCTTGAATATTGCTAAAAACGGCGTAAAACCATACTCACCAACTCACTCACTCACTCATTTGTGTAGATCCATGTTGTTGATCACTGGATTGTCAAGTCGATTATTTACAATCCGTCGTCATATAGGTGGAATATTGGTGAGTGCAGCTTTAACAACAAGCAAAACCAATCCGACCACGATAGTCGACTCTTACGATAAGCATGGGTTGATGGAAATGAAACATACCAGGGGTGATTTCATTCTTCCCAAGTTCCAATCTCCCAGTAAAAGTTGGACATGCCAACGTAGGGGATTAAACTTTTGATTGAACTACCTGCACTGTTACTGCTTTCCCAAGCGCTGATTACAAGGTCACACATCTAAATACATCTCCCGCCATCGCTTCCTGCTACAGCTATGGTACACCACGAAGTCATAAAGGGGCACTTCAATTATTCAGATTAATTCCATTCTCTATCCGTGTATTTATCGGCTTTGTTCTAACGACATCAAGCAGGAAGTATCTTTCCTTATATATTATTCAGTTCTGGTTTTTCCTCCAGTACTGCTTTCGTCTTTGATTTCCACCTCAAGTCTCTTGGTTGGCAATAATATGGCTAACTGGGTTTTTTAATTCTTAAAGGATTTTTTATTGTTCTCAAACCTGATTCAGTGCTGACAGAAGGGAGATTATTGAACCCAGCTGAAACGTAGGATGAAAACTTGTTTGTGCTGAAAAGGGCTTGTTTCGTCATGTTTGGTCACACTTAAAGAAAAAGAGGGGAGATGTTATTTTGAAGTACCTAAAGAAGGGGAGATGTTTGGTCATACTCTGAGAAGGGGGATGATGGTCCATACTTAAAGAAGGAGGGGTGTTTCGTCATGCTTAAACAAGGAGGAGTGTTTCGTCATGCTTAAAGAGGAAGGATGTTTGGCCATAAAAGATGGGCGTGAGCTTACCTAAAGAAAGAGGAGAATTTGCCATACTGTTTGGTCTTGCTAAAATAAGGAATGATGTTTCGCTATACTTAAAGACAAAGAGGGTGCGGATGCCTCTAAAGAAAGAGGTGAGGTGAAATTGGGTTTTACGTCGTGCTTGAGAATGTTTCGCTCATATGACGACGTGCATGCATGTGTATGTATGTGTATGTGCGGCTGCTTGTACTAGCCCAGACTTAAGCTGGTTTTATAGTGCTAGCTCACTGAGATACCATGCCGCAGTGAAGCATGAATACCCCACTCAGACACATTATACTGACTCCGAGCCGACCAGCCCTTGTTGTACCCATTAATGCCGAGCGCCAGGCAGGGACCAACAAGTACCATATTTTGTCGTCCTTTGGTATGACGCGGTCGGGGATCGAACCCGCGACCTTCCGCTCTCCGGGCGGACGCTCTACCCACTACACCACGGAGGCGGTCTCTCTAAAGAAAGAAGGTGTTACCATAGGAGGGATGTTTGGCTATACTTAAAGAGGGTCTTTGTCTTTGAACACTCTGGAAAAGGGTGTTTGACCATTAAAGATAACGTTTTGGGGAGCATTATCGAAGGATGGTCGTTTGGCCCTGTTTACAGAAAGGTTTTTTGGCCATATGTTTACCCCCTTAAAATCATGATCACTCCCCCTGGACATAAATTATGAACGGTCCCTGCATGAGGAGCCTTTGAATGTTGGACTTGGCTGAAATATAGCCGAATATTGATTTCAAATAACAGATAGTGCTTCTATTATCAACATGGAGGAAGGTACTTTTAATATTTGCCGACGTGTTTTGATTTTTCTTCCTTTACGAGTGCTATTTCATTTCATAATGCATCCTAAATAAATGTGTAAAATAACCAGTTCCACCATTACGTTTTAAAGAAAATTTACATCTTACATATTCTCACGAGCTTTAGTTTTCATATAAACTCAATCACATACAAAACCAAACTTAACATCGGAAACTTAACACTCCAAACTTTTATCGAAGATACTTTATACAGCTATAACTTCAGATCGGCCATAATTGATAATAAACCTTTCAACATGAAGCCCTCGTCATACAGCTTGTCAAATACAAGCAAATATTATATGGGTATTATTTGCCATGTCGAGCGTCTTGTATCGAGTTGAGTGGACAATTTCACACCACACTACACCGTTAAGCTAAACTAATCCCATAAGATAGTCGTCACTGACTGATTTATTCCACCTAATGCCAATCACAGGAGGGTTGAATTCCTGGTTGAACAGAAGACGGTTAGTGAGACTTGGTGGGTATACCCAGAAACGTACAGCAGTTTTATTGTGGAGGTGCGTGTAACTTTGTATGGACTTATAGAGAGGCTTTATAAAGCAGTGACGTATATTTTTCAAAGTCGCTAGAAATTTAATTCCTTTGCACCTGGAAGAGGTTACTTTTAACTTCTTGAGGTCAGAGTTGGTTCGCTTTATGTGATGTCTTTTTATATCTGACTTTTCTATGTTGCATGGGTTGGTTGTTAGTTTTGTAAGGCCGGGGGGATATGGCGGCAACATATATATTTAAGTCCCTGGGACAAGAGGGTAGCTAGTCAATTTTTATATAGTGAGAAAATAATCGATATATTTTGAGTCGATTGGTCCCGTCGTACGTTTGAACTGTGGCACCTCATATATGTTACGCGATCGAGAACATACTCAGTGAGTGAGTTTAGTTTTACGCCACTTTTAGCAATATTCCAACGATATCAAGGCGGGGGGACAGAAATGGGCTTCACACATTCCACCCATGTGGGGAATCGAACCCGGGCCTTCGGTGTGACGAGCGAACGCTTTATCCACTAGGCTACCCCACCACCCCGAGAACATACTGCAAGGATAGAGCATGTGTATCCAGCATGAGAGAACAAGATTGTGCTGAAACGTATACGCTGTAAGACAGGTAGGGGTTCGAACCAGTGGTGTCAGATCCCTTGGTGCTTCATCCACTGGGCTACAGGACGCCACTCGAGGGGACATACTTTTGTTAATGTCATTCATTATTAATGCAAGACAAATCCTATGGATAACAACTTCTTGATTTATTTTACACAACGTTTCTGGGCCAGTTCTTGCCCCTTCGTCAGGTGGATAATGATGATAGTGAACAAGCGTAAGGCGGGACTGTTTGTACATACTTAATTTTATCTCCTTTAACGTGTGTGAAGCCCACTTCTGGTGTCCCCTGTCGTGATATTTCTCGAATATTGTTAAAAGCGGCATAAAACTAAACTCACTTACTCATGACTGCCATCCACGGAAACCTTAACGGCCATGATGTAACTCATTAATACAACTATCAGTAACTTGCCATGGGGGATCCTCCATGAACCTGGTGGATGGGAGATAACAGATACCCTGGTCTGATAACAATATCAATGACTTAGTTAATTATTATTCATGAGTTAAGTTAGCAGGTTTCCCAAGCACAGTACTTGATGTTAACAACAGATGAAAAGAATGTTTAATGCAAGGGGTTAAAAGCATTGGAAACACGCACGTGCGCCGATGGGGCGATTGGAAAGGGCAAAGGAGTGAATGTCTGGGTGAATGAGTTAGATGAATGGTTCAGGGATGAGTGGACGGTGGTGAGTGGACGGTGGTGCTGTGGGCGATCAGTGGGCAGAACTGATGGGTAAGGATGGTTAACAAAATGTAACATAAACGGATGGGGTTCACAGGTCACTGACTTGAGAAGATGGTGATCACGGAGAATAGTAGATGAGCAAGGTTCTTGGCCAGTTAGTAGGCTGGTGGGTATTGTTAGGGACCAGTGAGTGAGTTTGGTTTTACGCCGCTTTTAGCAATATTCCAGCCACATCACGGCGGGGAACACCAGACATGGGCTTCACACATTGTCCCCATATGGCGAATCGAACCCGGGCCTTCGGCGTGACGGCGAACGCTTTAACCACTAGGCTACCCCACCGACCCCAGGAACCAATGAGCAGGTGGAGGGGTAGGGCTGGTGATCAATTACTTTGGTGGAAGGGAAGGGGTGGTCATCAGTTAGTTTGGTGGAAGGGTAGGGGTGGTCATCAGTTTGATGGAAGGGTAGGGGTGGTCATCAGTTACTTTGGTGGAAGGGTGGGGGTGGTCATCAGTTAGTTTGGTGGAAGGGTAGGGGTGGTCATCAGTTAGTTTGGTGGAAGGGTAGGGGTGGTCATCAGTTTGGTGGAAGGGTAGGGGGTGGTCATCAGTTAGTTTGGTGGAAGGGTAGTAGAGGTGGTCATCAGTTAGTTTGGTGGAAGGGTAGGGGTGGTCATCAGTTAGTTTGGTGGAAGGGTAGGGGGTGGTCATCAGTTACTTTGGTGGAAGGGTAGAGGGTGGTCATCAGTTTGGTGGAAGGGTAGAGGTGGTCATCAGTTAGTTTGGTGGAAGGGTAGGGGGTGGTCATCAGTTAGTTTGGTGGAAGGGTAGGGGTGGTCATCAGTTAGTTTGGTGGAAGGGTAGAGGGGTGGTCATCAGTTAGTTTGGTGGAAGGGTAGAGGGTGGTCATCAGTTACTTTGGTGGAAGGGTAGAGGGTGGTCATCAGTTTGGTGGAAGGGTAGGGGTGGTCATCAGTTTGGTGGAAGGGTAGGGGTGGTCATCAGTTAGTTTGGTGGAAGGGTAGGGGTGGTCATCAGTTTGGTGGAAGGGTAGGGGTGGTCATCAGTTACTTTGGTGGAAGGGTAGAGGGTGGTCATCAGTTTGGTGGAAGGGTAGAGGGTGGTCATCAGTTTGGTGGAAGGGTAGGGGAGGTCATCAGTTTGGTGGAAGGGTAGAGGGTGGTCATCAGTTTGGTGGAAGGGTAGGGGTGGTCATCAGTTTGGTGGAAGGGTAGGGGGTGGTCATCAGTTAGTTTAGTGGAAGGGTAGGGTTGGTGATCAATCAGTAGGGTGGGTGGTCATGATTGGGGAGGGGGGGGATGACTCTGCTTTTAGAGATTTCTTATGGATGTGGAAAGGGTTTTGTCGCTTCTATTTCTATCAATGAGCAGGGTGGATGGGTAAGGTTAATCAATAAGTAGGCTGGGGGATATGGTTAGTGCTCGGTTAGTTAGGTGGAAGGGTAAGGTTGGAGATCCATGTGTATGGAACATGGGTGAGGTTGATGAATGACAAATCAAGTGGATTATGTGAGTGGCATGTTTATATAAATGAATGATTAAGTAGGCATACAGAGCCTGCAATTTGAGAATACAACCACGAGTCATAGGATTTAATTATTCATTGATATTGTAACAAAACCATATATGTGTCATTACGAAGCTATAAAAAATACCAAAGTGGAATCTAAACCTAACTATGCACATGACACGCTTGAGGACATCCACATTACAACGGACTGAACAATAGTATTGTTGGAAACAACGGCAGAAGCCTGGGCAGCCTATACAGATCCGTTACACTGCAGATACCGCCGTTATTGACTACACCGCTACCACTGTATGCTATAAAGGCTCAACGTATGAATGTATGTTTCCTCGAGGATATGTGCAATTGATAGCATTGCAACACTAGGGATATATTGTACAGACAATGTAACGTTGTGTTGACATGTTGTGCTGCGTGGGGCGTCAGGAAGTAGGCGTAATAACAGCATGCAAGTAAATGCATGTCATGGTGAAGTGTGAAATATTGGGTAATATAGTACGCCATAGAAGTCAAGGTTACGTATTACGATCAAATGTGAAATATTGGTTATATAATACTCCATTCCACTCATTGGTATCGTGAAATATCGGGTAATATAGTACACCATAGAAGTCATGGCTACATTGTTGTCATGAACTGTGAAATATCGGGTAATATAGTACACAATAGAAATCATGGCTACATTGTTGTCATGAAGTGTGAAATATAGGGTAGTATAGTACACCATAGACATCATGGCTATATTGTTATCATGAAGTGTGAAATATAGGGTAATATAGTACACCATAGAAGTCATGGCTGCATTGTTATTATGAAGTGTGAAATATAGGGTAATATAGTACACCATAGAAGTCATGGCCACATTGTTATCATGAACTGTGAAATATTGGGTAATATAGTACACCATAGAAGTCATGGCTGCATTG